CTACAGAATAGAATCCCAACTGATGAAGGCCTCTAGAGATTCAGATTGATCTTACCATCAAGGTGCTCATGTTGTAATAATCACAAGGAAGAGACCATCATGTACCTATTTTGTGAGAGTTATATTGCAAAACAGGTATGGTCTTTTTTTGCTTGGAGTTGTGGTATTACAATAAGACAAGGAGACATTAGGCAATTGATCATGTCTTGGTGGCTAACTAAGGCAAAGAATGGAATCCATGCAGTGATCCTACAATGTCTAATATCCATTGTATGCTGGAAAATATGAAAAAGTAGGTGTGCAGCCAGATTTGAGAACGTACATATGTCCGAAAGAGCTATAATTATGCAAATTTGTAGGTCCATGATTATGCTACTGAACATACAATTTCCTAGAGTACAATTCCCCTTGCATTGGAATGATATACGCATAGCGTCGGAGAATGCAAAACGGCTAATTAGTAGCCAACTGATTAAATGGTACAAACCTGATTTTGGCTGGCTAAAGCTGAGCATTGATGGCTGCTATAAAGGAAACCCAGGAAGTGCTGGAGGTGGTGGTGTTATGAGAGATCATCAGGGATCCTTTATTGTTGCTTTTGCTGAGTATTATGGCCAATGCACCAATAATTTTGCAGCAGCAAAGGCCATGCTACATGGGTTGAAATTGTGTTTAAGCAAAGGTTTTTTGAATGTAATTATCGAGTCTGATTCTCAGGTAATTATTAACATGATTAACAACAAAATGAAGGCTTCTTGGCAGATACATCATATTATTGAGCAGATTATTCAAATCTCTAGCAAAAGTAATTTTACTTTTGTCCATACAATAGAGAAGGTAGTAGTGTTGCTGATCAACTTGCTAATTTGGGGGAAAGTTTTAGAGTTAAGATCACCTTTGATACCACTAATTCTTTGTCGGACATATTGAAATCTTCACTGAGACTTGATCAAGTCGGTTTTTCAAACTTCAGATTCAAACCAAGGAAGAACCATTTTGTTATTAATGATGTTTTTAGATATAGCTGATTTTTGTATAGTAGTGCTAACTATATGTATAGCACCTATTAGTGAAGGTCATATATTTCAAAGTGTAATGGAGGAAATCTCCCAAAGTAGGCAGACTCTTTTGATGCTTTTGTACTGAAGGATAAGATATATTATTCTTCACAATGTTTTGGAGGCTATGGTTTATGTCATCTTCTGTGTACTTATTCTTTTCGATGATGTACAAATTGGGGCTACTGCCTAAACCCCAACATCCACCAATGGTGAACTTTTGAAAGAAAAAAAAAAGTCTCTTGTAAAATAAGAAATTGTACAACATTTATATTAGCATATTTCAGCTTATTTTAGTGTTTGGCAAACCTTAAAGATACTTTAAAGCCAATTGTCTTCTTTTATAGGGCAACTCAAGACACTATTTCAAGTATTCAATTTTAAAGCTGATTTAATAGAGTCTGATTTTCTTTTCGTTTCAACTTCCAAGTAGTTCAAACTGGACGAAAGAAGAGCCAGAAAAACTTTTTGTGTTTGCTTCCTAATCTGATTCTTCCCAGTAGGGAGTTCATAATTATCTGAATTCAATCTTTGGGTGCCTGTATCTTTATATGTTAGTTAACCTAAGCTCCTCCAAAGCAGGAGCGGAGCTACAACTAGCGAAATGTAATTATTTGAACACCCTTTCCTCGAAAATTATACCATATATAAGTTAAATATTATTTGAAGTCATAAAAACTCCAAGTGAAATTTCTGATTTGGCCTAGCTCCCTCGGTCAAAGGAAAAGATATTCCCTAATAACTCTTAAGTTTCTTGTGGCATTCTATAAGCCAGTTTAGAATTTGTATAAAATTACTCTCTTTTAAATGGAGAAGAAGTAACAGAAATGATGTCAATTTAAGGTTTTAAACTTTTTACTTGCCGGATACGTCTATACTACTTGTGGAAGGAATTTCCGTGTCACATCTCTTGTAGAACATTTCCCTTTCACAAAACCGAATTGTTGGCTATAGTAGTGGACGTCAGGCAGTTCGGTTTGGATTATGAAAATTTCATTTGATTTTCCGGTTTTATGAAATTACAAATCAATTCAAACCAAATAAACTCGGTTTGGTTCAAATTTTTAAATTTGATTCGAGTTACTCGATTTGGTTATTTTGAATTTTCTGTTGGAGCCTATAATTTGAGCCAATAATCAAACACCTAGATTTATACTACTGTTAGCAAAGGACTGCGGAATGCAGATTCCAGATTTTAATGGAATTATTCAAAATTCGAAAAATATTTCAGAAAATATTTTCAAAAATAATTAAAATTTAGCCACTTTTTATGTAAAGATAAATCTGAACGAAAACACTGTTCAAAATTCGAAAAATATTTCAGTATAATATACTAGAGTTCGAATTTTACATGTGAACTTCCGGCATAATATACTGGTCCAGCATAATATGCTGAAAGTTCATACGCAGGTGCTCCAATCTCCAGTATATTATGCTGGAACTTTTCGTGTGCTGGAGTTCTAGTATAATATACTGGAAGTTCATACACAGATGCACCAATCTCCAATATATTATGCTGAAACTTTCCGCGTTGCAGCAAAATAGTGATTATTTTTCAATGACTTTACAAACGCTGGCTATTTTTCAATTACCAGTCCAAAAATTGGCTAGCCCATNATATATATATATAAAATGACATTGAAATTTAGTCATTTTTTCTCTTGCAAGCCCATCTTCCATCTATGCGAGAACTAAAGCAGTACATGTTAAATAAACTTTTAATCATGGTACATCTAAGAGATAAGATCACAAGTTTGAATGTTTTTTTAAATCTTTTTGAAATTCGTACTCAATTAAAAAGTACCACAAGAATTGAAACGAATAGAGTAATCACTATTAGAAATTCGATCAAATTCGACCAATATCGATCGATAATTGGCAAAAACTTATCGAAAAGCGATTGATTTGCAGCGGTCGGTAGAACCAACTGACCGCCTTCCATCGGTCAGTCACAACCGACCGATTTGATCGGTTAATTAAATTCCACATCCGATCCAAAAGAAAAAAGACGACCGAAAAAACTAAAAAATGCATCATCTAGAAATAGAATTGGGGTTTGTACTTGTGGCAAAATACTATTCTATCACTAGATCATTCATACTTTTTGATATAAGACTTTCTTTAATTTTATTTATGCTCTTTAATCATATTTTTGTGTGAAAATAACATACCGATTTGGGTCCATTTTGTTATAAAAAATAATAATAACCGACCGAAATTGGTCGATCTTTTAATATGACCGAACGAATTAACCGATCGACTTCAGTCATTTTTTTAATATTAATTTTAACTTATTTAAATGAAAAACTAGCCGAAGTTGACCGATTTCTTGAAAAATAAACTTTCCGGGACACAAAAATAATTCTTCGCATTTTGACGCAAAAAAGACCAAATTCGATCGAAAAAAATTAAAATAGAAAGTATTTTCACAAATCGTCCGATTTCAGTATTTCGATCGGTCGGCCATGGACGGTTTTGACTGAATTTCTAGCCTTGATTAAGGAATTCTTACATACTCAGATGTAACCAATTATTGTATCGAGTTATTCCCCTTCTAGGATATAGTTTGATACTTTGATTTTAGGGAATCTTATATAAATGTCCCAAATAAGTCCCAACTTATCAATATCTAGCCAATAATCTTAAACTTACCAAAACGAGTCAAGCACATATAAAAATTGAAATCCCAAATAAATAAGGATATTTCTCTCCAAGAATCACACACAAAGATCTCCTTCCATATTCTTAAGCGTGATCAACAATATTAGATATAAGACGGAAAGGAAATTTCATGGATAAGGTAGCAAATAAGGTGATGAAATATAAAAAAATATATAAATACAAGATTTCAAAAATCTAAGTAAAAAAAGGATATTTTCAATGAGTATGGTTGAAATTCGTTGACAACATATAGACGAGTCAATATATAAAATTCGAGGAAGATTATAGGTGATTCAGATATATTCGGTATCAAAATTCGTAATTAAAATCGAGTTCAAAAAATTCTTCTGCGACACATGTATCAAACATGTATCATGCATGTATCTCACATACAGGTATACATAGATATACATGTGATACATATTTGATACAAATATGATACAAATATGATACACAAATGATATACAGTGTGACATACATATAATTATTTTTCATGTTCATCTTCTATTTCAAATCTAGGTTTATTAGGGCTAGCTGACTAGTACATTGTCTTCGATTCTTAGAATGCCAGTATTAGGATTGTTTTAGTACTATCTTCCGCTTCGATTTTCTAATACCCTGTTGTGTTACTGCTTGTGACTATTGCTTTTGCTATTGCTATTGCTATTTCTACTGCTTTCTTCCATTTATTTTTCTCTAGTCCTTACATTGTTGATATCATTTTTCTAACCTTGTTGTTGTTATTTACTTGTTCATATTCTTCCTCTCGAGCCAAGGGTTTTTCGGAAACAGTTTATCTGCCCTCCAGGGTAGGGGTAAGATTCGCGTACATATTACCCTCCCAGACCTCACTTGTGGGATCCCATTGGGTTGTTGTTATTTACTTGTTCATATTCTTCCTCTCGAGCCGAGAGTCTTTCGGAAACAACCTCTCTGTCCTCTAGTGTAGGGGTAAGGTCTGCATACACATTACCCTCCCGAGACCCCACTTGTGGGATCTTACTGGGTTGTTGTTGTATCTTCTACTTCGAATTTTCAATTCAAACCACCTCAAAACTCCACTCAATCATCCCAAAACTGAGATTCAAGCTCCTTAAGATGTATCCGATCTATTCTAATAACACTCACTCAAAAAAAAAACAAAAATTTGACCTTTTCTTTTTTGCTACGAATATCTAATTGGTTAATATTAATAATATTTGGTTAATATTAGCAATATTTTATAAATTGATCAATTTTTATAATAAACTACTTATAAATGAACATAGCTTATAGTTTCCCTTGATTTTAAGTAACCTTTATAATGTATTTACACCTTGATGGATAAAAACTTGTAAAATGAGGTGATTAATAAAAACTTGTAAAATCATACTACTAGCATATAGCGCGCTGCGCATATTTCTGAACAGTAAGAAATTCCTAGTAGAAGAAATTGAGGAACAATTTCTGACTTATAGTGGACTTTGTGAGGTGAGTATTTATTGATTCTATCACCGTAGGATACCCTCTGGTCTCTGTTCGAGCCCAAGTTGCGTAGCTCTTTCCGACATGAATTCGAATTAATGGAACCACAACAGACACAACACTGAATGAGAATAATCCAATAGGAGTATAATATAAAAAGTACTTAATGATTCTTTGGATAATAAGTACCCGGCCTTATCTGGTGGGATTAATTACGGTTGGCACATAATCTCATTGCCAAATTTTGTAGCAGCAGGAGTAGAAGGAACCAATTGACCCTATGCCATAACCATAGACTTATAAATCTCCACAATCATCTTCTCATCATATTCTTTGAATTGCCTCATTCCGAATCCACTAACTCCATAATCACCTGTTAATCTACCGCTGCTCATAACCCTTGAATTAGCAATCTTTAACATCATGTTCACGTACGCGTCGCGCATATTCACAAGCAATTTCTTCGGCGAAAACCGCTTCACTTTCAGCCTTGGTCTCAGATTTATCTTCCAGAACCTTCCTCTCTTACATTTAGAACGTCTTTCCGTGGATAAATATTCTACCCGGATCTTCCTTCTCCGACCCGCTCCATTTAGCTTCTCGTACCCTTTCTTCTTCCTCCTCCAGTAGCCCTTTAATCCACTGTATAAATTTTTTGATGCTGATAATCCCTCCATTTGTTTCTCTCTTTTTTTGTTGTGTTTTGGTTTTGTGGAAAGGGGATAGAAAAATGTGTACAGCAAAAGAGTATTTAATAAAAGGGAGTTGGAAGGTAGTGTGAGGAGAAAAATGGGGAATCTTTAATTGTAGGGATAGGCATATGGTTTAGCCGTTACCAGTATTTTTCACGAGACATTATTGTTGTGTGTACTGTGAGAAGATAGTGACTGTCACCTCAATTGGATTGCCATTTTAACTAAAAGGTTTATTATGGTCCATGCATAATATCAATCCTAGGTATATTACAATAATTGGTTCATGGATTTAAATTATATTTATTGGTAGTATAAAAATTTATTACTCTATTAGTCTCTTAATGTGTTTACATCATTGGCAAAATCTTGAATTTTTGCGACATTCAAACTTGAAAGAAGTGGAAAAATATTTCCGACAAAGGATGTTCATTATATGTGATATATCTCTAACATAATATCTTTTATGTGCTATTTGTACATCATGCCCCTTTACAATTTTGAATTTAAAAAAATGACCTTTTTAGATCTGTTATGTGTAAAAGACAGATTTCTTACGTGTAAAAATAAATCTCTCAAAAGAACCAAAATATATCGGAAAAAACTTGGGGACCATAATATGTATAGCGCGGTATTTCACCGCGCTATACCTTAACGGCACGTTTGTCCGTTAAGGTATAGCACGGTGAAATACCGCGCTATATTTAAACTTTAAATGGGCGGAAAAGTATAGTGCGCATATATACCGCGCTATAGTATAGCGCGATATATATGCGCGTTATACCTAGATAAAAAAGCGTGAAAGTCTCCTTCCTCACATACACGAACTAGAAACCCCCCTCGTTTCTTGCGGTCCCCCACTATTGTTAACAAAAAAAAAAACTCAGTTGGAGCCCATCGGTCCCACAAAAATTGTAGATTCTCGATCCCACATCGTATCTAAGGCGTTATCTCGTAGTGGGTTGCTCGTTTCGGCTCCAAATCACCAAATCTTCAACTTTCCAAAAAATTAAAATCGAGGTATTCCGACTTAACTTTTTGTTAAAACTAATGAATAAAAATTGCCTATTAGTTCTTTTTACTGTGTCTATGTTATTTCGTGATTGTTTTGCGATTTAATTAATTTATTATTTTTTTATCCGGATTATGTTATTAGTGTGATAAAAAAATTAGTAAAATAGAGAAATTGTTATTAGTTGTTAAAAAAAATATTAATTAGTTAATTTTTACTTTGTTATATATTTTTTCGTGATTGTTTTGTGATTAAATTAATTTATTATTTTTATCCGATTTAGATTAGTTATTTGCTAAAAGATTAGTAAAATAGATAAATTATTATTTTAGGAATAATTAATCTTATTTAGATGTTATTGTTGTACATATATGAATATGTGACTTTAGTTCCCTGTAGTGGTATCTTGTGCCCGTAATTTTAATGTAATGCTCATATTTGTAATATAGTGCCTTTTAGCGTAGTAAAATATAGTGCCCTTTAGCGTAGTATCTTTGTAGTTATTGAAATTAATCATTTAATTATCTGTTAAACCCAAAAATATTTGAAAAAAAGTTGACAATTCAAACACAAACTCTCTCGAATTCTAGTCAACAAACGTAAGAAAATAACATTAGAAACCAACAATATTTGTCAAACTAAGTATTGTTATATGAATATTTAATAATTAAATCTTGTATAGTTATGAAAATTAATTATTTAATTTTATTATAGTCAAAAATAGGTGAGTAACAAATAAATATATAAAATAATAAACTAACATATAAAATAATAAACTAAGATATAAAATAATAAAATAACATATATTAAAGATGTTAAGCAATGAAAAAGAAAAATACTTTAATTAATATTGTTTAATTTACAGTAGTCGTCATGGAGGTTCCACATGTGCATCCCGGACCTGCATCGCTAGAGTTACTGTTGCTACAGGCCGAGCATAGGTCTTCGTACATATAGGAGGGGCAGTGTTTGGCCCAGACATTCCGCGCTAGACGGGTAGACGATATATGAGATTTTCTTAAGGCCCACCCATTCCATCCCCGTATAGTCAGACACCTTCAGGATACAGGTGTCTATAGGATTATTGAGATCGGCCGGTTGCAGTTGGACTGGTCGTCGATCACGGCTTTGATAGAGCGGTGGCGACCGGAGACGCACACATTTCATTTACCCATTGGCGGGGCTACTATCATGCTTCAGGATGTGGAGGTTCTGTATGGGATGCCTGTTGATGGACATCATGTAGCTTACCCGTATGCGCTCAGAGATTATACGGGATTGCAGTACCTGAAGATGTTGCAACGGCTCATCGGGTTCCAGCCAGCGGAGGAGGCTGCATTGAGTGGGGCCAGTCATTTTCAGTTGACGTCTGTTCGGCTGCATCTGGAGGTGATGGATGCGGACATTACGGATGATACACCGGATCTTCATATCAATCGGTACACGAGATTGTTGTTGCTGCTTATGTTTGGTGGGGTATTGTTCCCGAACACTTCGAGAAACCTAGTCAGCTTGAGATTTTTTCATCATCTTGAGTGACTAGATGATTTACCTGCTTATAACTGGGGTGCAACTATTCTAGGTTACTTGTATAGGCAGATATTCCGGGCGAGTATGGGCTCCCAGCGAGACATTGCTGGATTTTTGCCGCCGCTGCTGCAGGTGAAAACATAGTCAATCATTTTCATGATTATAACAGGCATAGTAAAAATATACTTTAAATTTTACGTCCATATTTTATATTAGGTTTGGGCCTGGGAGCGGTTCCTGCAGTTGCATCTACCTCTACTACCCATCGCTCCGGATGCACCACCTCCACCGTTTCTCCCTTTAGCAAGGAGGTGGGTTAATAGGCGAGGCTACAGACGCGAGGTCGAGGCTCGACATAATCTCCCCTATTGCAGGGATTTGTTGGATTTGCTGGAGGGCACGCAGGTACAAGCAATCTCACATCCGCACCATGGCAGTGACAGGCGATCCACGTGCAGACTTCAATAACCCGTTGAAAGACTCTAACACATTTGTAATCAGAATTCCCCATCTTCTGCCACCATCCGCGTGCAAAGTCCACTTGTCAATCTCATGTCGCATCAACCAAGTATAGGCTCCTTGGTCTTCATGCCTGATCAATTCCATTCGCCTCCTGAATTTACACTCTTGGTGATCTGTTGCAGCCATCCACTTATCCCATTTACCATAAACAATTTCAAACGCACGTTTGCTCCCGAAAAATGCCTTTCTTTTGGTAATGGTACACCCATATACCTGGTGGACAGATGTTATACACTATTTGATCTTGTACTTTATGGACACTTCAATGTGTGAAATCAAGATAACAGAAATCAAGTCAACATTCAAGTTAAAATGATTCCCACTGACTGTGTCCATTTCACAATTGTGGATGCCAATGTATTTACCCACAACTCACATATTTGTTTTTAGCTTTCTTGCACGGAGCATCCAGTTACAACCCGTAAACCATCTACGACAAATAACCTTGTATACATACGGAGATGACTCATGAACCACGATCTCACGACACTCTTTTATGTTATACATTCGCACCGCCCTGCTTAGGCGCGCTTTATCAGCAAAAAGCATGCCCTTTGACAGCACCGTTTCTCTAGATTCATCCCACATTGCTGTCCGAATTTCATCAAGATCCTTTGTGAGGGCATCCACATCCGGCATACTTGGCAAATGATCAAGGTAGGGAATCTCTCTTGAATGAAACGGCACGTGGGACTCGTACACTCTTGGTCTAACGGGATGTGGAGCATGCTCCCTCGTCATATCATGTTCAACATTCTCTTCCTCCTCATCATCACCCTCATCAGGGAAGGGTGTGTCATCTCCAGATTCATCAACATTGTTGTCATAATCACTATTCTCTTCCTGACTCTGCACATTCAGATCCCGATTAAATATGTTGTCTTCGGGCAATTGAGTAAGGACAGGACCTTCAAGTTGCTCGTTTTCACTCCACAACCAATAAAATAATGAGTTTCTCACATTGATCCAAACTTTACATATAACTTTATCACTTCACTTACAAATCATAATGTGTTGATATCCCATTTTGGACATTATCCTGTTGATGATGACTCCCGGATGGACCACCATGATCCAACACGTCAAAACTAGGCATATTCCAACTAGGCGTTGGTTCATAACTTGTAAAATTCATATCTGGCCGGTACCCCATTTGGAATATATGAGTGTTAATACAAATTCATTACATTAAAAAAAAATATCGTAACACAAAGAAAAATTGAAATTTACCACTCGGCTTGTGGATTATGTAAACTAGGGGAGAAATTATTTCCTCGTTCCTCATTCGCCTGTGGAGATAAGTTTAGATCAGGCCAAACTCTTTCACCTGGAACCTGTTCGGCTAAAACTGCTCCAAAATAACCACCCGATGATTGAGGGATATCCCTACTTTGCGGAACCTCATTATTGTGAACGTCTTCAGCCTTAACGTACATTTTCAATATTTTTATCACACGATATTCCCGATGTTCATCCGGAGTCCTCAAAATATCTCTCAGAGTTTCATCGTATTCGATGTTAAACTCAGCATAACAAGCAACTCCTTGCGGAGTAACAGAATACAGATATCTTCCGGTTACTTTAATATTCACCGAACGTTTGCTCACACTCATTCTTTTACATAACAACGATATCAATGTATCGTACTCCATTGTAAGTGGCAGCTTAACATGACAATGTGGAGAACAACTATAGTGTACTGAGTTATTCTCCACCACAACCTCACCTCTCTCCTCCCCCCAATATAATGAAACCCTAATTCTTTGCTCTTCAGACATTATGACAAAATACAAAATAACTTAACGAATAAATATTTTGGAAGACTTGAAGGATTCTGAATGAATTTTTATAAAATCCTCCTAAAACTCTTTAAATAAGGAAAAATTAATGTATAGCGCCTTAAATATGCGCGCTATACCCAGTTGAATTATTGGTCTGTCAATTAAGTTCAAAAGATTTATTAGTGGGCCCAACTTTTACGTATAGCGTGGTATTTAACCGCGTTATACCCTGTTGAATTAT